ATTTAATAGCTTCTGTGTTGCTTAGTTTATTATATTTATCAGATTAAATGAATATATTTATTATAAAATGAGTTAGACACTTGATAACATATTCTTCTACCAGGATATTTTTCTCAGGCAATCAAGGATAGTATAAAATAGCCGGAAAACATGTAATCTTCAGAAGAAAAAAACAGTGTAAACACATTCACACATCTTTCCATATAGAAAGCTTCTAATTTTCACTTTCATTGTCAAATATCCTTCCCGGCCAGTTGCACAACAAGAAAAAAAACGTACCATTGGGAAAAAAAGAGGTTTTTTGTTTAAAATTATTTATTAATTTTTTTATTTATTTATATTATTATTTTTTTTTTTAACATTCGTTTTATCTTCTTCATACCAGAATACTTGGAAAGCAGAGTAACTTACAAGAAAAATTTACTATAATTTTTTTAATATAATTAATAACAATGTATTGCAGGCCTGAATGGCCAAATGACTAGCGCTGTGGCGCTGAGTATCACGGGTTCCGTGTTCGAGTCCCGGCGGTGTCATGGATGTTTTAGGAATCCACTTTAAACCGTAGGTCCCGGTCTAACATGATCGTAGAGCGTTGTGGAGGTATTGTTACTCCGCGTCCGTAGCTTATCTTCAAACTACACGCACCTCCTGGGTAGTGCTAAGTGAGTAACGTCGGTGCAGCGTTTACCTTAAGGCATCGAAGGTTGCAATTGTCTAAGTGTTTGCCAGCTGCATTATTACAAAAAAAGTAACAATATATTGTATAATGTATGCGTTGTGTATTATATGTATTGTGTATATTAATATAACAATATATTGGGGTTTTTTTAATAACAATATATCTAAGCATATACTTCAAATTAAACAGTAGTGTCAGTAAATGGTTTTGGGCAGGGTAAGCAACATCTGAATTCTTTAAAAAATGTTCGCATTCGTATAGTGAGTCAAAGGATAATTAAATGTGAGTGAATTTATAGCTTCTGTATTGCTTGTTTTATTATATTTATTTGCAGCACTTATAAAAAAAGACTAAAAGACTTTAGGCACGCTTCAAAACATTTCCTAATAAGAAGACATACATTAGCTCTGACAGAAATAACATACAAAAGCATTTTTAGCAAGGAATATGCGGTAAACCACATGAATTTAAGAGACTGCAATACGTGTGGTTTATTCTTTAAGCCCTGATTCAGAAATGCATGGGGAAAAACTACTCTGTCATTAAATATTTTTGGCACAGTTACTAAGTTTTTAATGTATAAAAAAGAAATCCAAAGAAACATGTTGTTTTCATAAGAGAAAAAAAAAAGAGGGTTCTCATAAAGTAAGCAAGAAAGTAAAACAAACAGGAAACTGGTGAAGTGGTGAGAATTTATATAGAGAATTTAAATATAATAGAATTTTATACATTAAAATGTCTCACAAAAATATTTTTTTTTTTAAAGTTGACGCTGAAAACATATAAATTAGAAATTTTTCTTAAAATCTGTTACATTTTCATATTCTGTCATTTAATATTACTGCGCTGCACAAAACTTAATTTTTTATGTTTATAAACGATGCAATGAAATTTCAATCGAATAAAAAGTCTTACTTCATATAAGTTCAAGATATTTCAGGATTATTTTTTAAAACTATTAACGAGTGAAATAATTGTCATATGTATTTTATTTTGAAAATATTATTCAAATTTCAAAAAAATGAATATAATTTTATTTTCTAGGTAATTTATTTGATAACAGAAAGCTTTTTTTTTCTTTATACTATAATTTAAATAATTGCATGTATAAAAAAATAAAATAAAGAATGAAAATTCAGATTATAATAAGTAATTCAGATTGTTATGTAAATTAACAACAGCTATTTTCCAAGTTAAGAAAAAAGATTGCTCTTAAACTTTTTGAAAAAACTGTTTCATTTTTATTAAAGTATATTAAGTTATTTTACTAAGTTGTAAAAAACTATAAATTAATTATATTGTAATGTTATAATAAGTTATATTAAGTTTTATTAACGTATATTCGGTGTTATTAAATATTAAATCAAGAGTTCATTTAAATTTTCTTGCTAACATTCAATTAACTTTATTTATTAATAAATTTTGAAAGTTGTTGATAAATGTTGTGAAATTTTTGAAGTTTGTATTTATGAAGAAAAAAGTGAATATGAAAATAAAAAATAATATTTCTTGAAAATAAAAATTTTGAAGGAGGAATTCTTTTATTGTTTTGCTAAAACGTCGTTTCCCAGAAAAATAATTTTCAGAAACTTTTGTTGATAAGCATCGAAATTTTACGAAGTATTCGTTTTCTAAATCGAGAATTTGGTGAAAGGCAATAAAAAGGCCCAATTTTCTTTTAAATTAACTCTTCATAATTTACTTATTGCGTAATATTATAAAAAGAATTTTTACTCATTTTTAAAAAAGATGTTGATGTTGATAGATTTGAAAAAGCCTTTATATCCGAATCGCATTTATTATTAAATCATGAAAAAAAAAAGGCAGTTGAGACAATTCCCTGAAATATAATGTTATTCACTAACGAGAATATGTGAGAAGATACTCCTTTTTGTTCATATATTTTATATTATGAGACCGATTACCAATTTCTGCATGTTCATTTGGCTTCGAATATGCAGCAGTTTTGAATAATTTTGTTAAAGATCTAATTTTTGATCCATTGATTTCCATAATTGAAAATTTACAAATTTGCAGAATGTTGGACATTTATCTCTCTACTATTGATGACTTTATCATTAAAAAAAAAAAGAAAAGAAATAATTTTTTTGAAATATAATGAATGATATCTGATTTTCTAACGTTGGTATATTAGAAACTTCCTTTACGAGTTCTTTGTCCTTACATTAATTCGTATAATTTTAATTATATTTAGTAAATCAGTATATTAAATTCAGTGTTTTTCACTGTTTAATAACACCAGTACATCAGTTTCTGTGTTCAAAGTTTCTACATATGAAATATATATATATATATATATATATATATATATATATACATAATGATTAATGAAAAATTTTCAGGTTATGGTAAATAATTTATTGTTTTACGAGTTCCTGTCAATAGAGAGTTTTTGCATACCGTTTTGCTCATTATATATATTTAGCATGCGCGCTAATGAAAAAAAGCAACGGACGTTATGGTAAATAATTTATTATTTTACGGTATGCAAAAACTCTCCTGTCATTGATTCGTATAATTAGAATTATATTTAGTAACATCAGTACATTAGCTTCAGAGTATATCACTATTTAATAACATCAGTTTCTGTATTCAAAAGTTTCTTCGTATGAAATATATATATTTTTTTTAATGATTAATGAAAAATGTTCAGGTTCTAATAAATAATTTATTATTTCTATGTTTTAAAGAAAGCAAAAAAGTTTTCTTATTGAAGACATTTTTTTTAAATTACACATTTATAAAAAGAAAAAATTATATACCTACCACGAATATCTGATGATTAAGGACTGTTTAACAGCTTTTGATAAGTCCAAAAGAGTGCAGATACGTTAGTGTACATTCGTTTCTGTCTGACACTGAGAATTTGAAGATAATTCAGAGTTCCGGCCAACTACTACGAATCATTAAGTAGAAAAGTAAATCGACAGGATGATGTAACTGGAAGCCATTTAACTGCAGTGAAATTCTCTTTTTGTTTCTGATAAGGATGATCTAACAGTTTATCCTTCTCAACAAATTATTTAATTTAAATTTTTTTAAAAATTTGGTGATTTAGTTGACAGAAAGCATTTTTATCATTTTCAAATGCCAAGAATATAGATTTAACTTACTTGCCACTAGAATGTCATATATATATAGCATATTCAGAGTTACCTAGAGTGCATTACTTTTAGGCCTGTTTGATCGTACCCACCTCGATTGACCACACTGTAATATCTGACGAAAACCCCAAGGGTAGAATTTCTGGAGATGAATTTCTGAATTTGTTTCCTCCCTTCCGGAGCCCAACGGAAGAACATTCTGATCTACAGATCTACCGTGCCGATCGTTGGCGTAGAACACGAAAGTTTACGTTCGATATTGCTTGTCGAGTTTCGAACAAACACACTATCCACCAGGATATTCTAGTCTCTGATAAGGAGGGGGCGAAGGGGGGGGGGGCGTGAGGGTGGACTCATGCTCTTGCGAATGTTTTTAAGGAATTTTGTAGTCTTCTTTTTCTTTTATAAATTTATGTTTATTTGATTTTTATAGTGAGAAATTCTAATCATAATTTTTTTTTTTTTTTTTTTTTTTGGTTGATATAAACTTGACTTAAATAGCAAAATATTTTCTAAAAGTTTTTTGCATTTTTATTGTTTTGGATATATTTATATGTAGCATATTAAACAGATTCCGAAAAAGTAAAATACAGCAGCCAAAACTTTTTAAATCATTGAAACATTTTTAATAAATGTCATTTTTTTTAACGAATTTTTGAAATCGGATAGGGTACCTATTCTATTTTTTATTTATTTATTTATTATTTTTTTTTTTTTTATGGAGGGTAGTCATATATAATAAAAAATATTTTGTAATCCTGTAGTGGCCATTATCTAATAACCACAACAAATATGTACAATGTAAATATATGTATATGTAAAAATATGTATAGGTAAATATGTAATATATTCAACGTTACGCAGGGAAAAAAAGATTTTAAATTATACTCATGTTTTACGTTAACCATGTTGTTGTTGTTGTTGTTGTTTATTATCCCATTTGGCCGGCCAAGCCCACGAGCCCATACGTGCTCATGATCGAAGGGGAAGGAAGCAGCTTCTGTTGTGATGGAGCACCCGTAGGTAGAAGCCTGACTTTTGCTCCGTGACGCTCTTACAGTCATGGAGACCGGGACCTACAGGCTTAAAGTGGATTCCGAACCACTACAAACATCCATGGCACCGCCGGGTTTGAACCCGAAACCTGTGGCACCGAGCGCTAGACACTCGGCCATTCAGGTCCCAAATTTGGAACGGCACGCAGTGTTCCCAGGTGGAACCCATTGACCGCGCCCAATGATGCTTGACTTCGGTGATCTAACGAGAACCGGTATATTCAGCATGGTACGGCCGTTGGCCTACGCTAACCATAGAATGAACATACCCAAAGAGGAATTTGAAGGCTTGCACCCACCTCTCCTTTCTTCAGACCAATGAAGGCTCTTTCTGACCGACGAATTTATCTTCTCCATTCATGGCATAAATACAAAAGCTTTTGATTTGACATCATTTGTCGGGTTACTAATCAAGATGCCTTAGTTCGGAAACTAAACCCTCTTACCACCAGTCACAATAACAAACATCAAATTTTAGCACTCCGTGCTTGCCTGGAAGTGGAAATTGTTGTGTATGTTTTTGAAGGTTTCGTTTTTCCTCCACTAATTTCTATAATTAAAATTTTTAAGTGTTCAGAACATTGGGCATTTATATTTCCATTATTCCCCACTTATCTTTCAAGAAAATCAATAAGAAAAGAAAATTGCTTTTGAACACTTGTTGAAAGTAAACTGGAAACTGACTTTTCCAAGCTCTTAGTTCCTTTATTGATTTTTATTATTAGATTTATACTGTCTGTCACTTTAAAATTTCTACACTGACTATTTATATCTATTTATGTTGTTTATATTCGTATAATTAAATTTAAATTATTTATACATCTATAATTAAATTATAATGTTTATTTATCATTTTGATTATTTTAATTTTTGTTCATTTATATTATTACTATTACTATTTTGTCTGATTTCCTTTACACAGGTCAAACTTTAGTGATGCTCAATGAATAAAAATACTTTTTACATTGGTTTATGGATTTTCATTTTAAAAAGAAAAATATTTGATGTAAAAAATAAACAATAAAATTTATATTTAAAAATATTTAATATTTAAAATATAAATTATAAATATTTATCGATTATTTATAATTTAAATATTTATAATATTTATCGAATTATAAATAATATAATTATTTATAATTCAAAATATTAATAACAATTATTATAATTCATCGAATTTATTATATAATTAAAATATTTACCGAAAATGTTTAAATCGATTATTTTTTACGTATATAATTTTAACTTGTATCTGATGCTTCACAAATACTTTAATAAGAAAATGTATCGATGGTAAAGAAATCTAAAATAATGAGAATTCTTCAATGAATGAGCCACAAAGTCGTTGCTTCCAGAAACGAGGAGACTTGATGGGAATGTGAATATGTGTGTAAAATTGTCTCACATCAAAAATCAGGCTGCATAGTGGAAATTTTCCTCGGTTTCTCCTATACGACAATCAAATGTGGGGTAGTTACCTCTAAAAGTCCTCCAGTAAGGCATTGCCCTTCCCATTTCCCATCTATGGGCTGTTCGTCGTATACATGAGGCCTACCGATGTTGTGCCCTCACCTTTCTAATTGGTAAGAGGCTACATAACCCTAAGCAAGGGGAGGTGTGCAAAAGTAAAAAAGAAAAGGCTGTGTGGCACGATTTTTCTGGGTTTCCTTCCATACGACACGCAAATGGAAAGCAGTTACCCCTAAAAGTCCTCCTGATCAGTAATGTTCTCTCTTCACCACCCTTCTGTGAGCTGTTTGCGGCCTACATAAATAGAATAGGAAGCCAGCCTATATTCAACAATAAATTCGAGGATATTTTAACCTTAAAATAATCTAGATTTAACGTATAATAGTCAAAAGGATTTTCGTAAATGAATCTGCGTTTTATTTCCTGGTTTGCTAGTAGACAACTACACTAAATTTTAAAAAGAAAAATTTTTAAACAATGAGTAACTTAAGTTTTTAAGTTCGTGTTAGATATTGTAATTAGCCAATCAAATATGCCTTTATTATAATCAGGTCATTTATTATCTTATGGATTAAACAAATTTATGTTTGAAGCTTGCTGGATTCAGAGATAATGTCAAATTAAAGCAAGAAAATATTATTAATCTCCAGTCGTTTTAATGAGAATTCGTATCACATAAGTTAGGAATTGCAATACGTGAACTGTTATTTACCTGTCAATGTTCGGTACAACCCGAGCTGTAAGTTTACATTAAACGTCAGAATAATGCTTCGTATTAGATTCAAACGGTTTGTAAATAACAGTTTAAGGTAATTTTTTTTTAAAATATTCAGATATATTATTTACGTTTAAAAAAAAAAAAATTAACAGGAAACATTATGAAGTCAAAATCTAGACAGCTGACTTTATAATAATAAGAAGAAAAATAAGAATAATAAAACTGAATTACAAAATAAAATTATAATTCTACAAATTCACCCAATATTAAAAGCTAAAAAAAATTTTTAAATAATTTTCGCAGCTATAGTAGCATCAAAAGAATTTAAGTATTTAAAAAATGCAATGATTATATCTATTTTCATGTGTAAGGATTTTTTTAATGTTGGACACTTGATGTGAGATTATTCGTCAGTGATATGGCAAATTTTGTAACCGATCGGGCTTTATTCGGGGAGGTTACACTGTACACAAAACAGGAAAAAGCGAGATTTTTTTAGACAGTTAACTAGACATATCTGTGTTACATTTGAGAAAAATCAAAAAAATATTCACTCAGTCAGCCTGATGACAGCAAAATATATCCATCCTCATCAGTGGCGCAACAGCCCCATGATGGGCCAAGGACATCTGCTCATTAGCAGATTTCTGGACAGTAGATGTTTTTTTTTTTTTTTACGTGGTAGGGTTATCAATCCTACGTCCAACAGTCAAATGAGACTGGGACCTACGGTTTAAAATGAATTCCGAACCACTACAAACATCTATGGCAGTGAGTGCACCAGTATATGGCATATACTGGTGCACTCCAGTATATGCCAGTGGCACCGAGCCCCAGAGCTCTAGTCGCTCGGCCATCAGGCCCTAGCGAAATATACTACCGAGGCAAATATCCATTGCCACTTTAAGTGGCCCTAACAATGTTGACGAGAATCATACCCGTAATCTCTTTCCCCAAAGAGCCAAGTCCAAACTACCGTCGACAATAAGGCTAATGTACTAAACTCAGAGAATGTTGTAGACACCACTTTCAAAAAAGAAGTGACTCGGTAGCGAATGGCACAGCTTGTGTGAGCGTCTCAAGTCGATAAACGGAGTTTTCTTAGTTTTCTCCCTTACAACATTCAAATGCCGACCTGTTATATTTGAAAGTCCTCCCTGAAGGCATTTACTTTCCCTTCCTTATCTCAGCTGTTAAAAATTCTTCATGATTATATTACATGAAACTCGATATTCCTATTGTGTAAAGGAAATGTTATGTCAAAGATCTCAGGAGCAAAATATCATTTTATTTATTTATTAATTAATTATTATTATTATTATTATTATTGCAAAAGAATTCGTATAATGATGATTATTTGATATTATTTTTCAAAAAAACAATTTTATTATGAACATATAGTAACAGATGTGAAAACATAGAGTTCTTTTTAATAAGTTTTTTGTTTTAAATATGCTTGAAAATTATTTTTACTTTTAAATAATATTAATACAATTCCGATTTAACAAGATCTCTACTTATCTATTCACTTTAATTATTACATTCTGAGTTTGTAAAATCATTAATCATATAAGTAGCTCCCGACTAATTTTTCAGTGTATATCATATATACACAAATAAGCCACTCCAGAAATAAGTGAAATAATGCTAGTAAATAATCTATCTTCAAATTCTTGGATTTTACAAATTTACATTAAATTTTTCAAAAATGATTTAAATGCTATATATTGTTGTGCTTTATATAATTTAAAAACTGGAAAGGTTACTTGATTTTTTTTTTTATGGTATTTGTTATTAGAATGGAAAAATGTCACAATTTTTTATGCAATGAAATATGTTTCAACAGGAGAAAATGAAAGTGAATGTTCAATTTTTGCAAATATCAGTTCAAAAGTTGTACTTATTTCAGTGATTTTAAAACCAAAAGCTTTCATCATTTTCGAAGAAAGTTTTTCCTTCAATTCAGATTGAAATCAATTTCTTTTCTGGAAATTTTTATCTTCAGAATTAATTTAGAAAATCCTTCTCAATTCAGAATTAAGGAGAAAATTCAACAGTAGACTTTCATCATTTTTTCCCATGGCAAAAATTAAATTATTATTCATTGTTAAATTAATGTTCATTTCAATATTGTTCATACTTGTATATTAAATAATTACTTATTTATTGTTTTATACAAAAAAGGAATTATTCTTCTATGAAACATATTCTTTTCTTCATATTTAAGTATTTAAGTCAACCTGTTAGAGGCTCATTGGCATCATACATTGTAATCATTGTTTTCACAAACAAGGAGACTTGGTGATATTGTAGTAAAGTGTGAACATTTGACTGTCTGTGAATAAACTGAGCCATTTAAAACGAAATAAGAAGCATTTACCGTGAAAATCTTTACGAAAGATGTTACGCCCCTTATTTCCCCTTACACAATATATAGTTAAACAAAGCACCGGTTGTTCGTAGTAAACTACGAGGAAAGCTAGTAGGGTAAACTATTATAGGGGGAAAACAACAATCTGTAGTTTTTTCAAATTTAGTAGAAAATGCCTTTTATGATGGATTTAATTTCTCTTGTTGCCATTTGTCTATAGAAATCTAAACAATCAAACATTTAGTTTACAAGTGATGTTATGTATCATGAGACGTTGATCCAATTTTTTATCCTTCTTACAAAAGACTGTGAAACATTTTACTAATTCATGATTCTAATGATGAACATTAATAGATCACATAAACTAAGATAGCTCTTTAAAACTTTCTGCATGTAACACAGTGTCATTTTTCATTTTTAATGATGTTTCTAGAAGAAAATGGTTTACGAATCGTTTGATCGAGCCGTAATTGTTGGCATATTCACATAAAGGAGAAAAGTAATTGCAGGTAATATTTGTGAGGACAAATGTGGAAATCTTTGCAGGTAAGAATTGCAGTAATATAACAAATTTTTTAATTTGCTGTAACAAAGGCTAAAAAAATAATGTATAAATTATAGTCTTAAAGCTTAACATTAACTTTTATTAATGGAAGTAAAGACATGTTATCATTAAATAAT